CCTTTTAAAATTTGAATTTTTACTGCTCCCCTCTAACCATAACAGCGATTAATATTTAAGACTTGACATTTAGATAATCTGGTTGGTTTGGCTTCAGAGGATCAAACTTTAAACATTCTACACAAAGTTTGGTCACAAAACTCAGCAGAACTTTAATTAAATCTTGTAAAATAAGAGCGAAGCATACATCTTTAAAATAACTATTACTTTTTCTGAGAACAAGAGGAGATAGATTAATTTCTGAATTACTTTAAGACGACACGAAATCAACTTTAAAATTGTTTTAAATTCTTTTTTTTGTGTCGTGTATTATTTGGTTGTGTATTAAGTAGAATACAACACTATGGCGCCCGACAAATAAAACTTTTTTCCCGGATTTTCTAGTTTCCTTCCTGGGGGATTTAATGTTGGGGGATATTCCCTAGGGGATTTCTTGGTAATTCCTATCCTGTGTGGGATGTAATGATGCCACATCAATTGTCTCTTACCGCCAAAATTTAGCACATCGGATCCAAGGATGGTTTTCAGTTTCCATTTAAGTCTCTTTTTTTATGATCCAAGGAAGGTTTAGATCGTAGTACAAGGAAAATAATATTAAGTTCAGTTCATATTTTAAGGAATCAATGTCTAAAACTTTCTGAAACGTTTTTGCAATTCGAATTTCCGACCTCAACATTAGCATAATCTTATTTCCAAAGATAAATGTATAAAACCTTTAAACTGAACCTTGGCAATCTTTAGTTCAGTCAGACATTGCACAAACTCTTGTATTAACAACAGTTTAGATATTTTAACAGGAATCCTAGTTAATCTCAAATCTATCCATGATGGGAACTCAGGGATACAGGATACATAATATAAGGATACATGATACATGAAACATTATACAAGATATAAGAATACAGGATACAGGATACAAGGCACAAGATTCGGATACAGAATGAAGGATACAGCAAAAATGGTTCAGGATACAGAATTATAGGAATCTGAATACAGGATACAGAAATCAGGATAAATGATACAAGGATATGAGATACAGGACGTATGGGACAGAATACGGCGATACAGGGATACAGAATACACAGTTAACAGGGATATTGGATACAGGATACAGGATACAGGATACAGGATACCGGACACAGAATACAGGAAGCAACGTTTTTTTTCTCATAAAATAAACTTTAAATATCAATGTCTAGCTGTGTTGTTGATAGGATTAAATAATAATTTATGGGAAAGAAAATCTGGATATGCGTGTCAAAAATTCAAATTTGAAATGTCAATTCTTAAATTTAGAAAAGTCTCCGACAGTATTGAATTAAACTTCCAAAAATATTCATACTTCAGCAACGATCATATTTATTCAGAAAACCTCCAATGTTTTTTTTCTTCATTATCCACAATACAGTCATTGAAAAATATTCCTACTTCTAGTTCTAGTTCTAGTTCTAGTTCTACGTCTAGTTCTTGTTCTAGTTCTTGTTCTAGTTCTAGTTCTAGGTCTAGTTCTAGTTCTAGTTCTAGTTCTAGTCCAAGTTCTTGTTCTAGTTCTAGTTCTTGTTCTAGTTCTAGTTCTAGTTCTAGTTCTAGTTCTAGTTCTAGTTCTAGTTCTAGTTCTAGTTCAGTTCTAGTTCTAGTTCTAGTTCTTGTTCTAGTTCTAGTTCTAGTTCTAGTTCTAGTTCTACTCCAAGTCCTAATTCCAGTCCAAGTCCCCGAAACTTTCTAATCGCAGAATGAAATGAACCTCTTTGTGTATTTTCCCTTCCCCGACTCCTTGATTCATCCGTCTTTGGAATGATAAAGTCCCGGCGTACCAAATCAATTTATAAAATGATGAGAAATACCAGAACCGAAAAAAGTCAATAATGGCTGCATCAATATTCCCTGTATCTGAGTTGATACTGACCCAGATAAAACCCTGGAACTCACAGAATAATATTCATAATAGAAAAACAATATGATGAAGGATTGGTCGGGGGTTAATATTTTTTTCTAATTTTGTAAAAAAAATCATGAATTGTGTGTATCTATCTTCATATATTAATTAGTAACCTCTGTTTGTTTGTTTGTATGTCCGATCATAACTCATGAACCCCTTGACCGATTTGCCTCAAATTTTTATTGGTGAACTCTGGAGAACCTCTGGAACCTTGGTTTTAAAGTTCCAAATTGAGTGGGTTGAACTTTATAGGTTCCAGACAAAGTTGGGTGTCCAAGCTAGAATTATATATAAAATGTGAATACATTTGTTCTTCTGCTTATTTATCCATTTAAACCTAAAAAGTGAAAAGCATATTATGTTCCATTTATAAATAAAAGCGTAGTTCTGTATTTCGGTAATCACTAATCGTTGTTTGAATCCAATTAGTCTTGTTCCTTTATACATAATTCAAAACTAATAAAATTTCTATAAAAAAGGGCTATTTCTTACCTTTATAAAATCTATTGGCTAAATATATTATTTTTTTTCTATTAAATTTTTATTTAACTGTCGAAACAATCTTTTTTTTAACAAATGTCGATTCACAGTTTATTGATTTTCTCTGTATAAATCAGCTTAAATTATATAATATCCCTGGATATCCATGTATCCTGATATATATAAAATCCCTGAATATCTCTGTATCCTGATATAAATAAAATTCCTGGATATCCCTGTATCCTGATATATATAAAATTCCTGGATATCCCTGTATCCTTATAAATATAATATCCCTGGATATCCCTGTATCCTGATATATATAATATCCCTGGATATCCCTGTATCCTAATATTTATAATATCCCTGGATATCCCTGTATCCTGATATTTATAATATCCCTGGATATCCCTGTATCCTGATATTTATAATATGCCTGGATATCCCTGTATCCTGATATTTATAATATGCCTGGATATCCCTGTATCCTGATATTTATAATATCCCTGGATATCTCTGTATCCTGATATATATAATATCCCTGGATATCCCTGTATCCTGATATATATAATATCCCTGGATATCCCTGTATCCTGATATATATAATATCCCTGGATATCCCTGTATCCTGATATTTATAATATCCCTTGATATCCCTGTATCCTGATATATGTAAAATCCCTGGATATCCCTGTATCCTGAAATTTATAATATCCTTGGATATCCCTCCATCCTGATATATATAATATCCCTGGATATCCCTATATCCTGATATTTATAAAATCCCTGGATATCCCTGTATCCTGAAATTTATAATATCCTTGGATATCCCTGCATCCTGATATATATAATATCCTTGGATATCCCTGTATCCTGATATATATAATATCCCTGGATATCCCTGTATCCTGATATATATAATATCCTTGGATATCCCTGTATCCTGATATATATAAATTCCCTGGATATCCCTCTATCTTGATATATATAAAATCCCTGGAAAAAAATTATTTAAAAAAAATTTCAAATTTCTTTTAGTCCTTGTTACCCCCGGGTTAATCAAGGGCTCCCTCAGAAAATTTCAGCCCATTCGGTCCAGCCGTTTGGCCAGCTATAGCTAACATACACACAAATATATGTGAGTGAAGATCTTTATCCTGCTATTTATAATATCCAAGTATTCTGTCTATATACGAAACACGACCACCATTTGTGGGACTAATCAAATCAATATTTCTCTTACTATACATCATCAACTCATGTGTCTCAGCATCTTTAGTTATTAAACAAATTAAGTTTTTGCCAAAAAATCTTTCTAATCCCTTTATCTTTGCTACCTGAAGGTGTAAACTTTTGAAATCTAAATTATTTGGACGAACACAATTCATAATTCATAGTTTGAATTATCTCATGTCTACGCCATTTGGCTGCAAAGATTTAGGGATAAGAAAATCTAGACTCAATTCCTTTGGGTCAAAACATATCCCAATGATCGGCTGTTCAAATTTTGTTGATGTTTATTATTCTATACATAGATCTGAACATATTGAAATAATAAATATAGGTTCGAGAACTTAATATCACAGCACTAAAGAACACCAGGGTGTCTAGTTAATAAATTACGTAAATGCCCCGGTTTAGAAAAAAAAACATTTAATCCTTTAAAATGACTAGAATCAAATATCGATAAATTTTTGGTGCATTTAGTTACAGGTTTGAAAATCAAAATGTTTTCTTGAGTTTTTTTCGACACCCTGTTTGGTCCAGGCAGTAGGCCTGAGGTTTTTAAGGAATGTTTAAAATTTTCACCCAGTTTATTCTGGAAAAAAGTAAATCATTTAAAATATATAAACTAAAAAGTTTTGTATTAACGCGGTTGTAATGAGTTGATTCTTGATATGATTATTACTATTCTTTTCCAGAATTGTGAGGGGGAGGGGGTACAGAAAACACATTGCATAATATTATACGAATGTAAAGAAATCTACCACAGTGTGCTAACAATACACAATTCAAATTTGCAAAGTGAGAAATCTTTGAAAAAAATACAGGGTGTCATAAAATACCGGCAGCCGTATACTAGTTCTGACAGGGTGTCCGGTGGATGACCAGGAATTGATTGATTAAAAAATGGATTGGAGTTTTATTGGACAATGGCAATTATTGATGAAAGAGGTTTTTATTCCAAAATCAAACAAAGGAGTTGAGTCCTTGCCACAAATTCTGATTTTCTAATCCCTATATCCTTTGTACCCTTTGTCGTAAACCTTTGATATTTCAAACTTATATTATTTGATCTAACAGAAGTCATAGTTTGAAATGTCAAAGGTCTACAACATTGGGTAGCAAAGATATAGGGATTAGAAAATCACAGTTTGTGACAAAGACTCAATTCCTTTACTGACAGGCTACCTTTTCCAACACTACGATAGACCCAGACCTCTTGTTTTGAATATAAGGGGCTGCATCCTGTTTATCCATTTGATAAAAATATTAATTTCTCCGGGTTTTGTGTTGCATTGGTAGATTTCTTACAGTTATAGATTTAAAACATCGACTAATTTAGGTGTAAATAAACTTATCTTCAAACACTTTGTATTTGACTTGAACAAATCTTTGGTATCGTTCGAGTGCAACTCGTGTTATCGCAAGGAAGACGACATTTAGTTTCAGAAATATCAACGTGGCCTCGCCGTGGTCTGGGTGTTCCCTTTCTCACCAGTCATTCTCAATATATTCAGTTCAACAAGGCAGAATCAGCGCCACGGGTTTGTATCCTCTTGAAAGATGATCCTAGTAATGTATCCAGCATGAGTTGCAGGTTTGGAACTTTGAATCCTCGTGTGATTTCTTCTCTTTGCACACCAGGTTTCTTGTTCTCTCCGAACTAGGATTTTATGACAAGATGAACCACGTGACTCAATGCCAGGGATGATCCTCAGGATGTAGGTGAGGGGGATTGTGAGAGGGGTGGGGAGGATTTCCCTATAAGAACTGGAGAGGTTTTACCGAGAGGGGGAAGAAGAAACGGCGATGGGGCCGAATATCATGGAAGCATCCCTGAGACCTGCCGGAGCAGGGCGTTGTGTCACATTGAGTATCCAGTCGTCATGCTGGGCCACTGGAAGGTGTTCCCTGAGAGGAGCATATCCCTGATCAAGGTTTCTATCGGAGTTTTCCCAACTAATCTCACAAAGAATAGTTGTTCTATCACAGAGGCGGATACAGTTCTCAAGGAGGGGAGACGTAGGAGAAGTTTTCCGAACCTGGTGGGTTGATTAGGATACTGGGTTCTACAGTACTCCTCCAGAGCACACTGAGATTTTTCCTGTAACTGTTCCACTATTGATGCATCCGATAGACCAATAGCATCTAAAATAATGCATCATTTAAAAATCTAAAATCTAGAAAATATGAAGAATTGTTAAATAAAAAAGTTGAAAACTAACCTGTAGTAAAGAGAACTATCGCCTTCATACAAGAATATTCAGCAGCATCAACATGAAGAGATTTTAGCTTCTCAACCTGTTCTTGAAATATTCTAATGTGATCCATAAAAGCTACAACCCGGTCAGCTGCCATAGGAGCAGCATGTAATCCTGCAGCAGCCAGGAGCGGAGCAATATGTAGCGGCATGTTACACTGAGCAGCATTGAGTACAAATAGTTCTGACCAGACTAATCTGAGTAGTGCAACCTGATCTGTAACCTGGAGCTCCGGGAACCCAGGGATATTCCGAGACCATTCTACAGCGGAGAAAAGGATACGAGCTGCGAACTCACAGATATTATCAATCCCGATCATATTATTAGACGCCATCTGGATTTGTCCATATCTAGTTGCATAGGGTTCAGCTCGGAGTAGTAGGGATATATAGGATGAAAGATAGGTTGCTCCGCCGAACGGATCTGGTCCGAACCCGAACCCAAGCATTCCCTGTGTTGGAGGAACCCGTCCACGCTGAACAGCTGAAATATAAAAACCATCAAGATCTGTCCCAAGAAGACGATGATAAATTATCTTCTGTTGGCAAGGGTTTGTGGAAGATCTATTGAAGAGGAGGAATGGGGGGGGGGGTGGCTAGGCGTTACAGGGGGTGCATATAGAGAATATATGATAAGTTTCGGAGTATATTAATTACGTATCAATCAAATTTAAAAGTCGGACTTAGTTGAGAGAGGGGTAAGGAATTTAAACGGAAGGAAGTTGAATTTGTTTTAAAAATCTTACCCTCACGTTTCATTCCCATTTTGAAGCATTTCTTGAGCCTACAGTGCTGACACTGGTTCCTATGATGTTGATCTACTGGACAGTTCTTGTTTCCTCTGCACTGATAGGTCAGGTTCCGTCTCACAGATCTCTTGAAGAAGCTCTTACACCCTGAAAACATATATTCCACTCATTCTCAGATGCAAAGATGTTCAACTTAACAAATCTTTCCTAGATAGTCGGTAACTACATATACTCTCCATTTATAGAGTCAATTACCGGTTTTTAACTCTTTAAAGCTTTTTCTGCTCAACAAAGAATGAGATAATCATGTGTTTCTCGTTTAAAACCGACTATTCTTAACTGTGGGTTTACTACAAAAGTGTCCTGCGCATTTATGTTGCATAAACAAAGAAGAAAATTCCAAAGGTAAATTAGGGGTCAGTTCAAATTAAAGCAAAATTCCCCTGAGGTCTCCAAATAAAAACCTTCTAATGATAAATCTAAATATTTATTTTAAAATGATAAAGAAATTAAAAAATTGTTTAATCTTTTTTTCAATGAATAGATTGATCATCCCCCCCCGCACACAGTTCGTAGCGTTGAGTTATTTCCGTAAAATTGAAAACTACGTCTTTAAGACATCGTTCATATTTCACTGCTAAGCGGTACATTGGGTTTCAGTTTAATATTTCATAGTTTACTAAAATATAAAAACTGACAAGTTTTAGTCTTGTTAATATTTGTGTGTTTCAGACTCAATCTCTCTCTTTCTCTAGCTGTGTAAGAATTCATTCAATTTTTAGAAAAAGAAAAAAATGCAAAATTGTGGCTATATTTGATCTACAAAAAGCTTGAAAATATTGGCTTTCTATTCCCACAAATCCATCAAATATTATGTATATTTGAATATTGTATTTGTTGCTTGATCTCCTTTAATCCTTGCACTTGACAATTTCTAAATATAAATTGAATAATCTCAATTTCAAATCTAACATTTGTTGATATACTGATACTCAACTCTTTAAAGTTTTCAATATTTAAAACTGCAGTTTGAAAGTAAACCTAAGCGTGTAAAGACTTAAGAAATACTTCAAGAAATTGAGTCTTTGGCACTCTGATTTTCTAATCCCTTTATCTTTGCAACCCAAATGTCGAACACCTTTGATATTTTAAAGATATAGGGATTTGACAATTTGTGTTTGTGACAAAGACTCAATTCCTTTGCAACTTCACTAGTTCAATAAATAATTTCTATCGGATAACTTTAAACCTGAACTTGTGTAATAAATTGGGTTAGATTTACTCCTAGGTTATCTAGATACCCGGAAACAGGTTGGTTCTGAGACAAAGGGCGGTATGACAGGTAATATCGGAGTAAACATGATTACCTATTGTTCATTCTTTCGAGGAACTTGTACCGTTAGATTTACACCAAACTTAAACCATTCTACAATCCGTTATCTTGGTCTCATAGGATGATGATTAGACATTTCTCTAGTATTGATTCCTATGTGGTTTGATTTGTTTGTGCATTTTTGTAAACCCTGCCTTATTGTTGAAATAAAATCCCCTTCTTCAAGCCTGGAGAGACCCTGAAACCTAGTTCCAAGCTGATCCCTGACCCTGGATATTGTTTAGAACGTTTAATTGAACCTTTCTCTAGATGAGATATATCAGTCTTGAATCTATACTTGATCCATCGGATCCTTCTATCCCGTGCTGAGCACACGTTCCAACCATCCATCCTCCATCATATCACAGTTTTTTCTCTCTCCTACCTAACCATGCAAAAACCTAAACCATCAGTCCTATCCCTCTAACAATCTGATAATGACCTAACTACTGGGAAACAATTCTCTCTTCCCTTCAATCTTTCTCTCATAATCTTAAAGGGACTGAAAGTGTTATTTTAAGCGACACTCCATGCAATATTGGCAATGTAAGGTTTACAACGGTACTCTTTAAATTTGTCTGATCAGGTATAAATAGACATCAACTCACAGAAAAAAACACACTTTTGAGTCAGAAAAACGACGAAATCTTCAAAAAAATTTATCAGATTAAAGTTTCAAGGGTAACATTGTAAATCGGGCATTGCCATCTTGAAAAAACGCTTACAGTCTCTTTAACCAACTTTTAATCTATATTTAACTTTCCTCATAAATTTTTTTATCCTTGCTCTTTCTATTGAAAGCTGTTTTGTTAATCCAGCTTTATTTCTTACTCCTTTATTTCATTTTATCTCATTGTTAAGAGATTTTCTTATTTTTTTTCCTTTTTATTTTCAAATCCGTCTTTTTCTTTTGCTTTATATTGCTTAAATTAAATACTCATTTTTGGAATTAAGTCTATCTCACAGCTGAAAGATATTCCTGAACGATTGAGTCTTTTAGTGAAAATTTCCATAGTGGTTTCCTTATATTTTTTATTAAGTTGAAAAGTTCAAATATTTTGTGTATTTTAAAATTGGGGAACACTCCCTTTAAGTTGTAAGCTTGTTTGTTTTTCCTTGTAGAGTTTATATATTTGAATTCTGCCTGATAAAATAAGTAATGTCTAATAATTAAGGACCATTAAAGCAAAAACAAGGCATTTTACTCGTCTGCAAGATAAACCTTAAATACAATGTTTAATAGGTATAATTATTTTTTTTCATTACAATGTATTCATTTTCAAGTTTATGTGTTTATCAAGCAAACATCCTTCTATTCTTATTCAGAGACCGGATTTAATGAATTTGAGCCAGGTCTAGAGACGGTTCAACCACATATCTTGAATCAGGATACACATAAGAATCGACGGTAGGTAGTTTAGCGAACTAGTTCAAATTCATTGAGTCTTTGTAACAAACTCTGATTTGCTAATATCAATAAATTTTCCACCTGATGGTGTAAACCTTTGATATTTCAAACTTAGATTTTTTCATCTAACAGAATTCATAGTTTGAAATATCTAAGGTCTACGGCATTGGATTACAAAGATATAGAGATTAGAAAATCATAGTTTGTGACAAAGACTCAATTCCATTGGTCCTTTGGCGGATAGCAATAAGACGAGGATTTAGATAACGACTAACTATATTTAAAGTATAAAGTTACAAAGTAGAAAAATATATATATATGACGTGGCTTCTGGAAACTCCTCTATTCTTCTCCCTGCCGCGAAAGGTTCTTCCTAGGAAAGACGACTTTCATAGCCGCCACAGGTCCCATCTTCGAATTTGTAAGTTTTTATACTTAATATATATTTGTATGTGTAGATAAAAATCTAACTATGCTATTTAGTATATTTATGAATGTAAGTATTTAGGTTTGTATGCACCCCATCTATTGTTTGGTTGGGTAGGTACTAAACAAAAAAGAGTACAATAGAAAGCAACCTATTTTTCTCTACTCTTGGGGTCCACTATACAAAGTTAGGGATGGAATTATCCTATTCAGCTGGACCCGACTAGACCACACATTCAACAAAACTCTCTCTGTTCAACTTCATCCTAAATCTTAACTTCTTGAAACTATAAGACTAGGATTCTGTTTAGTAAATATTTATTAACAAACCAATCATATAAAATTCAACCCATTTCCAAAAAAAAAAAAACATTTTTTTCCAGAAAAATTATTCTTAATCTCCTTACTTTTTTGTTCCTTCTCTCCTCTGTTTAACCCATCACCACCCTCCTCCTTCCCTCTGGCCGACCCCTCATCACCCTCATCCATCCTCTGTTTAACCCCTCACCACCCTCCTCCTTTCCTCTGTTTAACCCCTCACCACCCTCATCCTTTTCTCTGTTTAACCCTTCACCACCACCCTCCTCCCCCTGTACAACACCTCATCACCCTCCTCCTCCCCCTTGTTCAACCCCTCAGCAACCCCCCTTGTTCAACCCCTCCTCCTTCCCCTTGTTCAACCCCTTCCTGTTTCAACCTTATTGTACAAATTATTTGCAAAGTATTTGTAAATACATATTTCCCAGGGAGCTTTCCAAAATATGTGCAAAATGTTCAGATACATTTCAGGGATGAGTATGAAGACTATAATCAGGTTCTCACACGGAGAGCTTTTTATTTTGTTAAATTAGAGTTTAAAGGCAAGGAATGTTTGCACCTGTTCCCCTGTGTATAATCCTATACCCGGAGAAATATGTTCCGTATGTTTAATCCTACATGGAGTAATGTGTGAACTATCTATAGAAACATTAAACACTTAAATTCAAATTGACTCTAGTTTGAACTAATTAGTCTATTAATAAATATCATGATTCATTATTCAGACTAATTTGAATACCAGTTTCAGAATGCATCCATAACAATTTCAGAGTTCAAACAGTTCATAGAGTTTAAACCTTTCATAAGATTATTCAAAACTTGTAATTGTCTAAATATGGTCAAATTCCCTCCGACAGCTTCATTTTTTAACTGCAACTGATTTCTCGCCTCTTCGCAACCTAATGGTGTCAACTTTTGATATTTCAAATTTTAACTATTTAGTCTAACAGAACTCATATTTTGAAATATCAAATGTAAATGATATCAGGCTTTGAAGATATAAAGATTAGAGTAATCAGTTACTTTAAAGTTTATTAAAGTTTAAACAGATTCTACCAACTAGTAAAAATAACCTAAACCTTTTTAATAAACAATTCTAAACATATGTTCAATAAAAGGATAATTACAAATTACAAACTCAAAGGAATTATGTCGTTGCCACAAACTCTGATTTTCTAAGATATTAAAAACAATTTTTGAGTTTTAATTTTTAATTTTTATCTTTATGACATTGGGTTCTAGTCCAAAAAACACCATTCTTTATTAAATGTGTAAATACAATTAAAATGATCAAATTTGTCATTTAAACTTATAGTTTATTCCTAAAAGAACTGAGTTTCTGCCACAAACTTTGATTTTTAATCCCTGTATCTTTGCAACCCGATGTCGCAGACCTTTGATTATTCAAACAATGAATCCTGTTAGATAAATTAGTCTTATAATTTTGAAAAATCAAAGGTTTAAAGATATAGGGATTAGAAAATTCGAGTTTGTGGTAAGAACTCAGTGCTGCAAACTGTAGAGTGAAGAAGTTTAAAGCTAAACATTGAAAAGAAATATTGTAAATCTGAATTATTATTAATTACCTTCACATGTGAACTGTCCATAATGTTTTCCACTGGATTTATCTCCGCAGACAACACATGATATCTCCTGACCGTTCTCATCCTTAGCTGCAATAGTTTCAGAGTCGGAGCTCTGCTGAGACGCATCACTACAAGGGATAGGTGTAGTGTTGTTGTTGTTGTTGTTGTTGCCAAGGGGGGAGGGAGACCCATCCAGGGGTGCAGTGGGGGACAACCCACCCAAGGACTGATTGGACATGGACATGGCCATGGACATCGACGGGAGGATGTTGGAGGAGGAGGCGAGAAGGTTCGGATCCCTCCAGACCGAGGTGGGTGGGGCAACCAGGGCCATCCCTGGCATTTGCCGGTGTACAGGGGGAAAGGGGAGAGGAAGGTAGGGAAAGGTCGGCTTCTGTTGACCCGTGGGGTCGAGAATGTTGACTGTTTGTAAATATAGGTGGTGCGCGGGTAGGTTTCAGGTGTCGTAACCTTACATCTTATTCAAGCATGTGTATACCTGACCTTACCGGCCTTCACTCACTCTACAGCTTCCTAAGCAAGCAATGTCAGAACCTTTGACCAGACTGCCTCACCTCTAGAAAATGAGATGTAATCTGTAAGTGTGCCGATACCGTAAGGCCAGCCAAGCGCCACTAGTGGATCAGAGGGCGACAGGCGACTAGTGAACCTTACCGGGTCTCGGGGTGAGCTCCGCCCGGACAGGGCAGGCCAAGGGGGCATGACCAGGACTCGAGGCGACACGAGCAGGGGGCACATACGACACATCCTGATTGGGCGGCAAGAGGCGGCGGTGGCGGGGGTGGGCGGCGGCACACACAACTACTGACAGATCATTGATCCGTGCAGCCTTGGCAGACTGTTTTCTGTGTGAAAAGTAGTCAGATATATAAGATTATATTTGAGGACACCCTGTGTGAAAAGTAGTCAGATAAGATTATATTTTGTTCTCAATGTTTGCTGAAAATCTTGTAATTCCAGGAACTATCTGGATATCTGCACTTACAAATTTGACGGTAAAAATCAGACTTCAGGAAATATTTTCTTTTGTTCATTATATTCCATTTTAACCTTGTTTAAGAACATATAGTTTTAAAACGGACAAGAGGGTTATAAAAGAAAAAAAAAACTCTCAAAAGAAACTTTTCAAAAAAATTTCCCTTAAAGAAAACAAATTGCTTAAGTTGTAAGAAAAATTAAGAAGAAAGAGGAGGGATTGAAGGGGGAGGGGGAGGTTGTAAATGTAGTGGGTTTTATTAAACATGAGTATGGAACTACGCGTATAGGGTTGTTAAGTTTAATGGTTTATCTCTGAAAAGTGTTTAGATACTAGGGAACAATGCATAGTTTAATATATAGCCTCCAGTTCACCTTTAATCATTCATGGTAAAAATATTCCATGAATAGGCCCCATACATTCCCATATAGTCTAGATTATACAGTGTACACCATACATTCCCATATAGTCTAGATTATACAGTGTACACCATACATTCCCATATAGTCTAGATTATACAGTGTACAACATACATTCCCATATAGTCTAGACTATACAGTGTACACCATACATTCCCATATAGTCTATATTATACAGTGTACGCCATACGTTTCCATATAGTTTAGATTATACAGTGTACACCATACATTTCCATATAGTCTAGATTATACAGTGTACACCAAACATTCCCATATAGTCTATATTATACAGTGTACACCATACATTCCCATAAAGTCTATATTATACAGTGTACACCGTACATTCCCATATAGTCTAGATTATACAGTGCACACCATACATTCCCATATAGTCTAGATTATACAGTGTACACCATACATTCCCATATAGTCTAGATCATACAGGGTACACCATACATTCCCATAGCTTAACTACGTTTATATATAACGACACAAAACTTGTAATTGTGTCTATTAAACTTAATCTGTAATCTACAACCCAAAAATATACTCAGTTGGAAAATACTCCACTTAGATTACATTGAAAAAAGTAATCGTTCCTTGTTTGTTTAGCAAACGAGTTGATGATATCTTGTCTGTGTTTGACATTGATAGCTTATGAGATCGTGCCTGTGTTTGACATTGATAGCTTAAGATTATGCCCGTGTTTGACATTGATAGCTCAAGATCATGCCCATGTTTGGCATTGATAGTTTACGAGATCGTGTACCTGTTTAAAATTGATAGCTCAAGATTGTGCCCCTGTTTGGCATTGATAGTTTACAAGATCATGTCCGTGTTTGACATTGATAGCTCAAGATCTTGCCCATGTTTGGCATTGATAGTTTACGAGATCGTGTCCGTGTTTGACATTGATAGCTCAAGATTGTGCCCCTGTTTGGCATTGATAGTTTACGAGATCGTGTCCGTGTTTGACATTGATAGCTCAAGAGATTGTGTCTGTGTTTGACATTGATAGCTCAAGAGATTGTGTCTGTGTTTGGCATTGATAGTTTACAAGATCTTGTCCGTGTTTGACATTGATAGCTCAAGAGATTGTGTCCGTGTTTGGTATTGATAGTTTACAAGATCTTTTCCGTGTTTGACATTGATAGGTCAAGAGATTGTGTCTGTGTTTGACATTGATAGCTCAAGAGATTGTGTCTGTGTTTGGCATTGATAGTTTACAAGATCTTGTCCGTGTTTGATATTGATAGCTCAAGAGTTGTTTAACTGATTAACCCTTATGCCTCGTAAACCAACGATAGGGATTGAATGTACCTGGATTGATATGGGTCTGAGAGACTCTTATGGAGTAAGGCATCTACTACATAGTGTACATTTACTCTCTTCAGGTTTACACTGCTTAATATAGATTTAATTTGGTAGATTATACTCTACTATATTATAGTTTTACTCTGCTAAATTACAGGTTTGCTCTGCTAAATAAAAATTATTAGTTTAATCTGCAGTTCTAAAAGTTTACTCTGCTAGGTTAAATGTTTACTTCGCTAGGTTAAAGCTTTACTTTGCTATGTTAAAGGTTTACTTTGCTAGCTTAAAGGTTTACTCAGCTAAGTAAAAGATTTAATCTGCTAGGTAAAAGGTTTATTCTGTTAGGTTAAAGGTTTATTCTGCTAGGTAAAAGGTTTACTCTGCTATGCCAAAGATTTACTCTACTAGGTTTAAGGTTTACTCTGCTACATTATAGGTTTACTCTGCTAGGTATAAAGTTTACTCTGCTAGGTATAAAGTTTACTCTGCTAGGTATAAAGTTTACTCTGCTAGGTATAAAGTTTACTCTGCTAGGTATAAAGTTTACTATGCTAGGTATAAAGTTTACTTTGCTGGTATAAAAAGTTGCATTGCTCTGCACCAGATAACAATATGGTTTCTCTCTGGGTTTCGGTCGATTAGTCTCAACACGGATATAAGAGGAGAACCAGACTGAGCTTAATTAACTGATTTGATATATAGCACAACATAATAATATAACATCTTTTCTTGACAATGGTTTCTCCGACATCGACTTATCATCCAATATCTTCATTTCGTCCACACTAATATTTTCTATCTATATTTATTATTTATATTTTCTTCCAGATCTTTACATTTTGGGGTTAATATCACATTCACTGTTCTTAGGTTTTCTACATTTTTCCTATTTCTTCCTTTCATTATTCTTTCGTCCTCCTTTCTTCTTCATTTCATCTTAATTTATTCCTCCTTTTATTTTCTTCTTTTCTTCTTCCTATCCTCTTTCCTCAATCTTACTTTCATCTTCCCTTCACCTTCTTTTCTTCTTCCTATCCTCTTTCCTCCATCTAACTTTCATCTTCCTTTCATCTTCCCTTCATCTTCTTTTCTTCTTCCTATCCTTTTTCCTCCATCTTAGTTTCATCTTCCCTTCATCTTCCCTTCATCTTCCCTTCCTCTTCCTATCCTCTTTCCTCCATCTTCGTTTCATCTTTGTTTCATCTTCCCGTCATCTTCTTTTCTTCCTCTTATCCTATTTCTTTCATCTCAGTTTTATCTTACTTTCATCTTGCTTTCATCTTCCCTTCATCTTCATTTCTTCTTTCTATCCTATTTCTTCCATCTCCGTTTCATCTTTTGTTCATTGTTCCTTCATCTTTTTTCTTTTGCTTTCTTTATAATTCGACAGTCAATTCTTGAATAATCTTTCCCGTATTTTACATACTATCACAAATCCTGATTTTTAGCTTTACTTTTCCATCATAGTTATTTTCCGGATACCTTTTCTTAATAATCTGTCCTTATTTATTCCACTTCTACTGTTTCTTCTGATCTTCCTCACCAAGATTGACAATAATTTATTCATACAGTTCTTTACTTTTAAAGGTCATAATTTATGAATATTATTTCTGATTTTTCTTCCTGCAGATTCTATTTTTTCTTCAGGTTCATTTTCAAGTTTACCATTTTCATTTCTAACCATGGACAAACATACATTGTACAATGTACATATCAATGAGCACTCCTGGACCTGGTAAATTTAAACCTGGCTGTTTAATCATATTATTTCTCCAAGGAAGGCCAAGGGGTTGGTTGTCAGATCTAATTATACAGTATTCAAGACTACGTACTTTCTTAGCAAATCACAAAAACGTTGATTTATGAAAACATCTATTTATTTTGTAAATTGGTAAAATAATAAACAATTTGATAAGATTTTAAGCTTTATCGTGAATATCTATATTCAAAATTTATTTTTGAGTTCCTAACCAGAGCTTGTATAAATCAAATAATTATATTTTATAATTCTATCGTTATTAAAATATACAAAAGTCGAATTTAGACTTTTCATTTGTAAAAAGTGAGACGTCTACCTACATATAACTACATAAAACGTATGAATGAAAGTAAACTATTTGAAAAATGTGTTAAGTATCATAGTTCCCCAATATCTGCATTTAAGGAAGATATCATGAATGAAGATGAAATAAATTGTTTTAAATCTTTATTTCTGAATTTTTTTCTGTTTTGGATAATTTCCATCCTTCCATACTTCGCCTTTACACACTCAAGCATATAGTATACAATGTATATATACACTTTAGAAATAATATTTCTATTAAGAATCAGTTCTAGAATCTAAAAAATCCTACCTCATATTCTCCCCTCCTTCTCCTATCACCCCTCCTATTCTCCCCTCCTTCTCCTATCACCCCTCCTATTCTCCCCTCCTTCTCCTATCACCCCTCCTATTCTCCCCTCCTTCTCCTATCACCCCTCCTATTCTCCCCTCCTTCTCCTATCACCCCTCCTATTCTCCCCTCCTTCTCCTATCACCCCTCCTATTCTCCCCTCCTTCTCCTATCACCCCNTTCCCCCCTCCTTTTCCCCCACTATTCTGTCACATTCTCATCTAATTTGTGAGGTAAAGATCTGCCTGCACAGTGCATAATTATACATGAGAAGGATGAATTCATTTCTTCTCTCATCACCTTTACAGAGTATTAACCTAGGCTTCAACATAAATAGGAGGTTAGGATTTGTCAGCTGCATCCAGGGTATTTAGGATACATCAGGTTTCCCTGGTATTCCAGGTATCCAGTATACCTTAGGATACACCAGGTTTCTCTGGTATTCCAGGAATACAGTATACCTTAGGATACACCAGGTTTCTCTGGTATTCCAAATACAGTATACCTTAGGATACACCAG